ACAGAGACCACTGCTGCTGCTGCTGCTGATACTGGTGCTATGGATGAGGACAGAGGTGTTGATCCTGAGTACAACCCCTTGCCTACTGCTGATCCAGGCTCATATTTGGTGTTTAGTGATGATGAAGAGTCTACTGACTAGACTTCTCATTTTGTTTTTATACATTTTCTGTTTTATGGTTTTATTTTGGATATTTTTAGTTGATTGTGGTATTATTTTCATTTTGTATATTTGTTAGTACATTGAGATTCTCTGTTTGAATGATGCACTTTTAAATAGTACTGATGCTATTTGTTGATATGTGTATGTGTTTCAGAATTTGTCAACTGTTTTTTAGATTTAAATTAGTTGCTGGGGACAGCAACGTTTAAATCTGGGAATGGGGTGTGAATGAATGACATGATTATGGTGGAATCACACAGTTGATGATGACACACAGTTGATGAGCCACAAACAAGGAAACATCTCAATCCTTTCTTTTAAAATTCTTGTGAATATAGTTTTAGGTAGTTTAGGAAGTGTTTTATATGTACAAAGGTTGGATTTAGAGTTGAGGTGATGTGAATTTTATGAGGATAGGATAATCAAAGTTTTACATGATGGATTAAACATTTTTTGATGCAATTTGAAATCCCTGCATATGTGCTAAATGATATGTTTGCATGACTCATGTTATGTGAGGAGTAGAGAGATCAGGTTGATGTATATAGAGGAATTCAAGCATGCACTCTGAACTGTGAGTCATTGAGCCTATACAGAAATTTTTTTTGTTCAGAGAGCACTTCACTGTATGAGTAACTCTAGAACTTGCCCTGTTTCTAACTTGAAATAGTTCATGGTTTGTAAAGTAGAGCTCATTGAGGCATTTTTCTTTTGAACCAAATTTTCTTATTGCATGGAAGCCTTAAGCCAGAGTTTTTGTGATAAAACTAAGAGCCCTGCACTTATTGGAGATCCTAAATTTTCAGATTATGTGTTCAGATAAGGGGTAAGGAGGAAGGCTCTGTAGGAAAGGTATTTCTGCAATGAACAAAAATATTAAGTGTTAAGTGTTGGAAATTTGGAGAAAAAGAAGAATGCAATAAAAAAAAAGGGAAATGAGGAAGTAAAGGGACAAAGTGCTTGGTTAGGAAAAGGAAAAGAAAAAGGAAATGAGGAAAAAGGGAAATCAAAACAACACAAAGTGTTGAAAGTTGGAAGAAAAGGAGGAAGGAAGTTCAAGAAAAAGAAAAGTTGTAGAAAAGGTGGTGAAAAAAGCAAATGAAAAGGAAGAAGAGAATGAGAAGGATTAAGGAGTACATAGATAAATTCAATAGTGATCCTCCTCTTATCTGAATCTGATCCATTTATCTAACCTTCTGCAACATCAAATCCTACCTTTAGCCAACTACATGCCAAGCCATTTTTCCTTCTTCTATACAGAATCCTATTCTTAGTCAAGTCATACCACCAAAGCCTCTTTTGTTCTGCTTATGAATCACTGTAACTATGGAAAGTGAGAAGATGGGCAAGCTTATAGTAGTTTGAGTGCAGTGGAGATTGAGTGATGAGTACACCCTTAGACACTAGAGTGCAAGAGAGTTTACTCTCACAATTTTTGAGAAGTTCCAAGTGAGGGGGTGTTTTGTGTTGAAGGTCTCTGCATTTCATCTTACTGATCTGTTGAAAGTCATTGTAATGAGGTTAAGCAAGTCATAGTAAAAGATAGATTGCTGGGTTGTTAGATTGTATCTTGGAAAGTTGATCTGTCATATTTCAATCCAACCTCATAAATTTCATGTGTAAAGAATCTCAAGTCTTTCTCTGTCTTTAAAGTTATTGCTGAGGACAACAATATTCAAATCTGGGAATTGTGATGAACCTTTAGTTCATCATGGTTTTTAGCAGGAATTAGGATCAAATTGTGTGATTAAATGATGAAAAACAAGGTTAATGTCCTAAGATGTCCTCAATTACAAGTTCAAGAGCTTTATTGGAAATTTGTATGATTCTTGTAGGAAAAGCAAGCTTGAAAGACAACTGGAGAAGGAAGAAGATTCTGGAGCTCAAGAGGAGAAAAATTGCCTAAGTGTTGAGCGCTAAAACGTCCACACTGAGCGTTTTAGCGCCCTGTTACAGAAAGAGGCCAAAACTTGCTGGTGATGAGCGCTAAAACGTCCACACAGAGCGTTTTAGCGCGCTGCTACACTAAGAAGATGGAAAATTGCTGGTCTTGGGCGCTAAATCGGCCTGCAATATGCGTTTTAGCGCCCTAAAGTGGAAAAAGATTCTGGTCTTCACCGCTAAAACGTCCAAATCAAACGTTTTAGCGTTGGAGTCAGTTAAAGTTAGTTGAGCATTCACCAAGTTTGGACGCTAAAACGGTCATTCCATAATGTTTTAACGTTGAAATCAGTTAAAAGCAGTTGAGCATACGTAAAGCATGGACGCTAAAACGGCCACTTATGGACGTTTTAGCGCCCACATCAGTTTTCTGTTTTTAATTGTAACACTATATAAGGCAAAGCCTTGACACTTAGAGGGAGATCTTGGGGGATCTGAACTCTCTCTCTCTCTCTTAAACTTAGTCTGACTTCTCTCTAAATTCTCTTAGTTTTTGTAATAGGATTTCCTTGTAATAGTTTGGAGATTGAAGACTTTCAACATGGAAATGAAGTTTGATTCTTCTTCTCTTATTTATTCCTTAGTTATGTCTGAGTAGAGTCTTTGTAGTCTGAATGCAATGGAACTCCATGATAATATTATGTTGATTTGATTAATATGATGAAGTATTTTCCATGTGCTGATTTGAGATTTTCTGAGTTAATTATTTCTATCAAAGAAGTAGTATAGAACAGGGATGTTTATATGACTTCTGTATTTGATAATCTCAACATCAGAATTCTAGTACTCAAGGGATTTATGCTAGAGTTCTGATGTAATCTTAAAACCTTAGTATTTCATGCATGTATTAAGAAAGAAATCACCAAGGGATTGGGGTTTCTGATTAATGTTTCTATCAAGGTAGTAAGGGATTACATCTTGATGATAAGTAAAAGGTTGATTAACATCACATGGAAAGGAATTCATCATATGATCAATTTTTATATGAGTTATCATGGAGGAAAGTTGTTTTCTGACTACTTGTTGTTTTTATTAATTCCTAATCCATATTTACTTTGTGTCAATTTACTCAAAATCAATTTTCTGGTGACAAATTATTCATGATTTTTACAAACTCTTATTTGATTCAAATTAGTTTTCTATGGTATATTGGTGTTTGAACACAATTCCTCGTGGGAACGATCTTTACTCATCATTTTATTACTTGTACGACTAGTGCACTTGCTAAACGTCCAACAGACTTCTATGTCATGTCCTCATGTTTCTGGAGTAGCAGCATATGTGAAGTCATTTCATCCCGATTGGACTTCTGCTGCAATCAGATCTGCCATTATTATCACAGGTGAAAATCTTAAATTAACATTTTTTACTTATAGGGTGAGTCTCGAGAAGTGTTAAAGCTGTTCTTTTATGACTGAAAGGTCACGAGCTCAAATCCGGGAAACAGACTTTTTACAAATATACAAGAGTAAGGCTGTGTACAAGGATTAACCTCCCCCCACTCTCCATAGTTGGGGTTTAATGGGGGAGTGGTTTACCCACATTTGTTACTTGATTTGTTTTATCATATGCAAAATCTGAAGGCTTTGTGCCTCGAGTCATAACTTCATATCTTTTAAGATGGCTTGACATGTCTATACTCTTTGTCAAGCTAAACTTGTGAGCCAGAGAGTTAACAAGGAAGCAGAATTTGCCTATGGTGCTGGTCAAGTCAATCCAGCAAGAGCTGTGAACCCTAGTTTATTCTATGACATGGATGACTTTGCATATATCCAATTCTTATGCCATGAGGGCTATAACGGTTCCACTTTATCAGTTTTAATCGGCTCTGCTATAAATTGCACCTCTTTGCTTCCTGGTCTTGGTCATGATGCTATCAACTATCCCAGCATGCAACTAAGCATGAAAAGCAACGTAGACACAACAATTGGAGTTTTCAGGAGAAGAATAACCAATGCAGGTCCTACTCCAACACGATGCCACCATAAAATCTCCTAAAGGAGTGGAAATCACAGTGAAGCCTACTAGCCTCATTTTCTCTCACACCAAGCAGAAGAGGAGCTTCAAGGTAGTGGTGAAAGCAAAACCTATGGCAAGCATGCAAAATGTATCTGGTTCACTTATTTGGAGAAGCTCCCTTTATATTGTTAGGAGCCCTATTGTTATCTACAGTCCATAAGGTTACAGTTAGCAGTTGCCAAAATCAAGTTTGTAGCATTGCCTGTGTGCTGATATATATATAGCACTTCCTCTGCATAATGTTGACATTTTGTTTATTATGCCTATGCAAGCATCAAATGAGTGGGGCATGGATATTTTTATACTCAGTAGAAATTACATTCTCAAGTTTAGTCTTCTCATTTATATCTGATAACTCATGTGACTATTTTTTTTTTTTGGTATCCAACTCAAATGACTAATTAATTAGAGCTATTAGATGAAAATAGATTAACGATTATAATTTAGCATAAAACTTGTTATTCTTATCATTTTAAATTAATTATTCAATAGTTTATTTTGTACTGTGTTGAAAGTAGTAATTGAAATCTTTTTAGTAACATTTTAATATTTATGTGATTTTTGTGAGATAAAAGTTTGTGGAACAAAAATCAAAGTTAGATAAATAATTATTATTCAGCTTTTTTCTTCTATGATCATGCTTTAGAGCTAATTTTAGATTTAAGGAAATTATACAAGTAATATTAATGATCTCTTTAATTTTTTATTGCAATCTTTATATCCCCACTCAACTGTTTGGCCAGAAAAGATTTGAAGCTACTTTTCCTATCTCTTGTTTCTAGAGGATCAAAGTGAATCACAAGGAGGAGGAAGAGGGAAAGCTCTCCTTTGCTTGGAGAGAGCAGTCCGACGGGAAGAGAGGAAAGCCTTGCCTCTATTCATTGCAGTAACCTTTCTGAAGAACCGACCAACTCTACTTCCTCCTTGTGATTGCACTGGTTGTTTAGACAAAGCCTTGGCTTCATAATCTCTTCTGCTTGCCGACTCTGATTAATCAATTCAGGAAGAGTACGAATTGCTGAAGTCAAAACAAGTTTGCGAATCTCCGGATGCAATCCACTTTCATACTTTTCCATCTGCCATTCTTCATCATAAATGTTTCCATCAAAGTTAGCATACTCCATCAGCTGCCCAAACTTTGCAATATATTCATTAACAGTCATATTATCTTGCCGCAGTGCTAGAAGCTCCGTGTGTTTCATCCTCCTGATAGCCTTAGGAAAATATTTGTCAAGAAAGACTCGTCTGAACACCTTCCAAGTAAGATCAACATGTTGAGCTCGAAGTAAAGCCCTTGCACTCGTCCACCAAGTTAATGCTTCATCAACCAACTGATACGAGGCATAGTCAACCTTGTGAGCTTCAGGACACCCCATACATTCAAAGATGTGTTCAATCATCTGTAACCATCTTGCTGCCATCTCAGGATTATCTCCTCCTTCAAATGTAGGTGGCTGAAAATTTCGGAAGTCTTTCAACCCCCACCTAGCAATCTCCTCAGCATTGTCATGCATTTGGGGTTGGTTAGGATTTTGATTTCTATATTCCCTCCACTCTTGATTCATATTCTGAACAAAAGTGGCCAACCCTCCAATAGTAGTGATAAGATCATCAGCTACATTACTAGGTCTTCCCTAAGTAGATCCCCGTGTACCTGCCATGTTTCTGCACTCACAATACCACAAAATGAGCTGATCAGACTCACCGCAAGATATACATGACAGCAATTCCAAGTAGGTACTCGAGTTCTAATCAGATAAGTTAATAATGCATCTGTTCTTATCATCGAATAGTTCTAACATTTTAATCCTACCAATTACCACAACTTAAACGAATCATTCAACATATGCCAATCATGATTTAGACAAACCATTAATTTAATTCAAACATACAGTAGCCAGCAAACAATTCGACAATCATACTCAAACAGCAAACAATTCAACAATCATATGCAAACACCATGAATCAAAACTGCTCTGATACCATTTAGTGTGACACCCTCCCCTGTATGCATCCAAGGGAGATGCCTGCTAAAACCGATTAGAGTCGCAACGTTAACATATTCAATTCTAAAAATAAATTTTGAAGTCACAAATAAAATCTTGTCTTGAAATTGGGTTTCATATGGAAAACAGCTAGTAATTTCATAAAAGCTTTTGATGCTGAAATTGTAAATTTCCCAGAAAACCTGTCTGTCTTGCAAAAATCATATAAAATCGAGTTTACAAGCTTTTGAAATTTTTCTTTGACACGAAGAAATTAGACATCTGGCGCTTTACGTACATATAAAATTTATCTCGTTCGAAGATCTGTAGCCACGGAAACAGAACTCGCAAGATGCACAAAAATATAGAGTAAAAATCCGAATTTAAATCAGGCGGAATTTGTCTTGGCAAGTCAAGTACCAGAGTTACATAACTTACATGCAAAACATAAAAATCAAAATACAGCAAAGCATGTCACGTTTCCAACATTGCCGGTCTCTCAAAATATTACATCATGATTAGAAATTTAACACTCCAAAACAGCCAAAAATAGCAAACACATAGTAATGACTCAAACAGAATTTGCCATGAAATCACGTCATCAAATACTTATTCTTCCTCCTGCAATTTTATAAAAATTGATCCCCAAAAGGGGTGAGAAAAATCCCAGTAGTGTGATAGAAAAACCAATAATGCAACAGTACTAGTTTAGTTGCAGAATTTCCAAAATTGTCACATCCTCAAATAATTACCGAACAGATACTAAAATGCAACAGAATACGTATATAACGCCAGAATATTGTATGTTCATAGCACTAAAGTGCACATACTAGCTAACTAAACTCAATGGAGATCTCATTTTGCCCTAGCAGAGGGGAATTCCAATTGAGACCTATGCGAACTGAGCCACGGTTCCTTCTCCCCGGTACCTGAGGGATGCCTATATGATGTATGCTCAAACATATGCTTTCTTTCACAATTTTAGGGTTTCCAAAACTGCACGAACAATGATGCATGTTATGCTATAATTTTCTTCACACACATGACAATATGATTAATGCATGATGTTCATGAGCATGACAAAAAAAATCAGAATCAGAAAATCATAGTTCACATGACTTTGCTACCAAAATTTCGAACATGGTGTCTCCAAAACAGAATTCCAATAAGTCCTCTCCAAAGGCAGATTATAAATACTTTCCAACATAATTTATATGAGACACATGAGCAACAAATCAAAAATTCATGAACTAAACTAACAGTCACAAAAGATTAATCCACCAAACACTTACATTGATGCTTACAAATTTTTTACCAAAGGTGTCACCAAATCAATCCACTCTCTTAGAGGTTTGCGCACCTAACAAATATATACCAAGTCAGAATTTTATTTTATGTTATCCTATACATCACATGCAAATTTCCATTCTTCCAAATTCTCGGATTTAGTCGGGTTTCAATGCTTCAATTACTAATTAATTTTTCTGACTCAGATTTAGTTTTACCAATTGTTTCCAAGAGACAAAACCAAGGGTTTCCTATGCATGTAGGTTCGGTTTTTTTACCCATCAACTAGGTGCTTATAATTTTCATTTACATAACCTTCTCTACAAAGCTTAGGAGTGCGCTAATGAGGCCTTTAAGCATGTTGTCCATATAGATTTAACACATGCAAGGCATGACAATACAATAGTCCAAAGAAACAGTCCCGAAATCCATGGAGAGCTTATCTTTCAAGCTCAAAATCGGCCTTGGGCTTGCCTGCACCAAGAGGTTTATGTTGTTCTCCAACTAGCCAGAAACGGGGAAAAGGAGAATGACAAGCGTATGTCCTCCTTGAATGTATATAAGGCCGAAATAGTGAGGGAAAAGGAGAGCATGGTTTTCGATTTTATACCTCTTGTATGAACCCAAAATGCTCCCAAATCGGTCAAGGGGATAGCCACCAAGGGATGAGCAACACTCTCACCCTCCTACTCTCCACGACTCAAGTTTTCAGTTTCATGCAAAGGGGAAAAACTCCTTTAAAAAAAACGAAAGGAGCATGAGGGAACAGGGAAGTAGAGAAAACACAATACCCCCTTGAATGTTGATGCTCGGCCGAACAAGAGAAAGAGAAGGAAAAGTATGCTTAGGTGTTTTGATTATTTCGTAAGGAGCTTGCGGCTAAGTGAAGAAGATGACAGGAAAGGTATGCAAGCTTAGGTTTTCTTGTGTTCCTCTATGATTCTTGCGGCTGGTGGAAGGGTGGAGGATGACTGGAATGCAAGCTTGGGTGATAGGTTGTTCACTTGGTAGCTTGCGGCTTTGAAGAGGGAATGAGAGTGATAAGGCTGAGTTTGATTCTGATTAATGGTGATAAGTATTCAGCTTTGTTTTTCTCCTTACTAAGCGCACATTGAAAGGATTAGGGTGGTAAGAGAGTTGCTCTTGACCAATAAAGAAACATGCATTCAGATTGCTTTCCTCTCATAGGGCGCATGTGAAGGAGATAAGGCTGACCTGATGTTGGTCACAATTACAAGTAATCAGAATTTTTTTTCTCCCTTCACTAGGCGCATGATGATGGAGAGATAAGGTTGGATAAATGTTTTGCTTCTTATCCCATGAGGAGTAGCCATAGATTAAGAGTAGGAACGGTGTGAGCTGACTAAAGTCCTCAATTGAGTGACTTGGGTCGTCGCCCATGGAAGGAAATTTGGGTCAAAAGTTAACTTCCTAATGGATCTATTACCGCATGTAATCCACTAAGTAGCACTTGGGATATTTGTATGTATTATTAAAAAAATTAATCCTATCCTAATTATACATGTAATTCGAATTCAAGACATGCATCCACATTCCTAATTGCCATTTAAATAACTTCCTAATTATGCGGGATGTTACACTCTCCCCACCAAAATAGAATTTTGTCCGCAAAATTGGAATCACGTACTCAATTAAAGAGTTCCGGGTCGCGATTCCGAATATCGTCTTCACGCTCCCAAGTGGCTTCATATGCAGATTTATTGTTCCATAGCACTTTCACCAACGGTATCTCCTTGGAACGAAGTTGCTTGACTGACCTCTCGAGAATTTGGAATGGTTGAACAGGGTACGTCATATTTTTCTCTAATTCTACTTCTTCTAACTGTAGTACATGGGATGGATCAGAGATATATCTTCTCAACTGAGACACATGGAAGACGTTATGAATTCCCGACAAATTAGGCGGTAACGCCAATCGATAAGAAGATTCTCCAATCCTATCCAAGATAAGGTATGGTCCCAAGTACTGCGGACTCAACTTCTTCATTCCCATTCTCCTGCCGAGTCCAGATGTGGGTGTGATTCTCAGAAACACGTGGTCTCCCACTTTAAAAGATAGGGGTTTATGACGATTGTCATAGTAACTTTTCTGCCTCGCCTGGGCCCTTTGCATATTTTCCTTGATCCTCTATACCTGCTCTGAAGTTTCTTAAATCATGTCGGGCCCCAAAATACTTCGCTCACCAACTTCTACCCAACATAAAGGAGATCTGCATTTCTTCCCGTGCAAAGCTTCATACGGTGCCATTCTGATGCTAGAATGAAAATTATTATTATAGGCAAACTCCACCAAAGGAAGATACTTGTCCCAACTGCCTCCTTGTTCTAAAATACATGCTCACAACATATCCTCCAGAACTTGAATAGTGCGTTCAGTCTGACCATCAGTTTGCGGATGATAAGCGGTACTTAACCTCAAATGGGTTCCGAGAGCTCGTTGAAAAGACTCCCACAACTTAGAGGCGAACTTGGGATCACGGTCACTGATGATATTGGTGGGAACTCCATGCAACTTCACAATATCTCGAAGATAAATCTGGGCAAGCCTTTCTGTGTTATACATTGTCCGGACACTCAAGAAATGCGCTGATTTTGTAAGCCGATCAACAATTACCCATATGACATCAAATCCTTCTCGCGTCCGAGGAAGTCCCACTACAAAGTCCATGGCAATAATATCCCATTTCCACTCGGGAATTTCCAGAGGTTGAAGAAGTCCTGACGGTTTCTGATGTTCGTACTTCACTTTCTGACAGGTTAAGCATCGAGCTACATATTCGGCATTATCACTTTTCATACCCGGCCACCAAAACTAAACTCAATGGAGATTCCATTTGGCCCTAGTAGAGGGGAATTCCAATTGAGGCCTATGTGAACTGAGCCACGGTTCCTTCTCCCTGGTACCTGAGGGATGCCTATATGATGTATGCTCAAACATATGCTTTCTTTCACAATTTTATGGTTTCCAAAACTGCATGAACAATGATGCATGTTATGTTGTAATTTGCTTCACACACATGACAATATGATTAATGCATGATGTTCATGAGCATGACAAAAAAAATCAGAATCAGAAAATCATAGTTCACATGACTATGCTACCAAAATTTCGAACATGGTGTCTCCAAAACAGAATTCCAATAAGTCCTCTCCAAAGGCAGATTATAAATACTTTCCAACAGAATTTATATGAGAGACATGAGCAACAATTCAAAAATTCATGAACTAAACTAACAGTCACAAAAGATTAACCCACCAAACACTTACATTGA